CCGACCTATTTCGCCCGCCGCCGGCGCGTTCGCCTGCGGCTGTCTAAAAAATCCCCTCCAGCTTTTGCTGTCTCTCTCGACAGCCACTTTGGGTTGACTGGAACAGTCGCCCCCTGCGCACCACTCTGCTGGCGGCGATCTGTGTGCAGCCCGCGCTGCCCCTCCCTCGTCCTCGGCTCTGTGCGAGCTGCTTCCATGACATGTTTCATTGCGGCTGTTGGCTGCAACCCCCCCTCCAACCGGCGCACGTGTTCATTGCGGCTGTTGGCTGCGCCCCCCCATCCACCGCGTGGTCAGATTCAGCCCTGGCTGCGTTCCAGCGCTCCATGAGGTGGTCGCGGCAGCTGTGAATCTCGGCGCTAGTCGTGACCGGTATCTGCGAGGTTGCAGTCTACTAGCCCTTGGGCCAGCGTGTTCTTTCTCATCGTTGCAGCCCCGGCCAGTCACTGGTTTCGGATACGATGAACGACACACCGCCCCCCCCCAGGCAGCGGTGCGGTCCGTGGAGTGGGTGCTGTGTAGGTACCTGCCGTTCCCCTGCCCTCTCTGTGGTCAGATTCAGCCCTGACTGCGCTCCAGCGCCTATGAGCTGGTCGCGGCTGCAGCGTACCTCGGCGGCCTTCGGCCGATATCCGCTAGGCGGCAGTGTACTGGCTCTTGGGCCTGCGTGTCCTCTTTCATCGTTGCTTCCTGGCCTGTCACTGGTTTCGGAAACGATGACTGACTCATCGGCCCCCCCCGGGCAGCGGTGTGGATCGTGGAGTGAGTGCTCTGTAGCTCCCTGCCGTTCCTCTGCCCCTGTCTTAGCCGACCCCGCGTACGGCGGTGGTACGGGCTTCGCGCTGACTGGTTCAGCCTTCAGCGTGTCGCTTCGGTTCTACCTGCCCGCTTTCGGCTAGGAGAGCTGCTCGGAGCTTGGCGCCGACAGGGCGACTTCTCCGTTGCACTGCACTGCGGTCTGCTTCACTTCGGTGTGGCTGGCGCCTATGTGCGATCGCCTTAATGCGGAGCATTTTGCTCGGTGTATGTGCACCCCACGCATTCCTTGCAAATTAGCCCCGTACTGTGACCCGGACGCCGCTTCCGCTCCCTGTCCGTTACCTCGGAGCCGCTGACCAAAAATAATCCCCTACCAGCACAGAACAGGTCACGACCTCTCCTGGCGTGCAGGATCCCATTCACCCGCATGTGTGCATCAGCTACCCTGGCCGTTTGCAGTCAGCTCAGCCAGCTCAGCCTCAGCCTGCGGCCCCGCCGGCGGTAGGTTCTGATTCCAGGCTCGGCCGCTGTGCTCTTAGGCTCGCGCGTTGCTAATTTGATAGGACTGTGGCCCGGACCACCCAGCTCGGCGACTGCGATTCCGCGTCCGCCCGCGACCAAAAACACCCCCCACCAGCCCATCCAGAAACGATGCCCAGAGGAATTGCCTCGATCAGGGAAGTGGGCAGCACACAGAGGAAGCCAGTATGAGACATCTTGGGATGTCTTGAGCCATCTTGGAGGTCGTTTTGGGCTCTCCCAGGCGCTCTTGGAGTCATCTGAAGCAGTGCCCCCCAAGAGGCGAACCTGTGGCTAAACCTTCGTAACATCAATGATTTGGCATTCTCGCCGAGGCCTCTTGGAGCATCTTGGGTGCCTCTGGAGGGTCTCTTGGGGCCTCGTGGGGGTCTCCTGGGGGCCTCCTGGGGGCCTCTTGGGGGCCTCTTGGGGCCATCTTGGGGCCATCTTGGGACCTCTTGGGGCCTCCTGGGCGCTTCTTGGGGCCATCTTGGAGGAGATCGATCAAACAAGAGGGGAGCATTCATTAGCGTCTCCCCCACAGGAGGCCAAAATGGGGCCAAAACTTTTTGGTAAAACCAATGATTTTGGCTTCCTCGCCGAGGCCGTTTTGGACGCTCCGACGACTCGCGAAATCCCTGTCCAGGTCCATGGGGAGGGGGTAGGGGGAGGGGTAAGCCCCTCCCCGAAGGGGAAAAAGGAGGGGTGGAAGAGGAAACTCCCTAAACCACCGACGCCTGGAGGGCTGGTGGGGATTGAAGGCCAGCGTCCCGAACGGGACCCCGAACGTGGAGGGTTTCTCCGAAGGGCTTAGGCGACCCGTCCTCCTCCTTCTCCTCCTCGTCCTCGTCCTCCTCCTCTCTCCTCCTTCTCCTCCTCCTCCTCCTCTTCCATCTCCTCCTCCCCCTCCTTTCTCGTTTCTCGTTTCTCGTTTCTGCCAGTGTGCCCCCTGCCCCGCGCCGCGTGGCGCCGCCGCGCGCAAGGCAGGAAGGGCAGGTCTAGGAGGGGGCCGGTCGGAGTCTTCCGCCCGTTGGTCCTGCTGGACACTCACTTTGCCGCCCCCGATGCTATCAGTTGTCCTTCTTCCGCGCATGCCTCTCACCGCGTCCATCTCCACTTGCTCCCTGCCAGCGCCCGCCATTCGCGCTGAGCGATGGCACCCTGGATCCCGTGTGGTCAGGGTCCTGGTCGGGCCCCCAGGGGGAAGCTAGCTCCGCCCTGT